GAGGGCTTCGAGTAGACAGCAGCGGGGGTAGAAGGGCTGTAGCTGGAGGACTTGGCAGGTGTGACGGATGCGGTGCTGCTCTCGCAAGGGGTAGAGCTGGCAACGGCAGACGAATCAGTGCCATAGGCAGGAGCAGAGCTGACGGCAGCGGGGGTAGAAGCGCTGTAGACGGACGATGAAGCAGGGGTAACGGAAGCAGTGCTGCTCTCGCAGGGCGTGGAACTGGCCATCACTGATGAATCAGTGCCGTAAGCAGGGGTGGACTCCGGGTGTGGGTACTCCTTGGTGGAGACGGTGGCCATGGTAGACTTTCCGTTGTTGCCATAGGCGTTGCCGCCGTTGTAGGATGGCTTGGAGTAGACACCGGCAGGAGTTGAAGCTGGGTAAGACTCCTGAACCGAAGATGAGGAGTGACCCTTAGCTGGACCGGCAGGGTAAGAGGGGTAGTTGTTCTCGCCCTCAGTAGGCTTCTTGGGGTAAGAAGGAGTGGAAGCCGGGTATGCCTCGTGGACTGAAGATGAGTGTCCGTTCATGGGACCGGCGGGGTACGAGGGGTACTTGTTGTCACCCTCAGTAGGCTGCTTGGGAGTAGCAGATGGCTTGTTGTGGCCGTAAGAGTTGTCGTGAGCGGGAGCGGAGGCGGAGGTAGGGTAGGCTGCATGACCGCTGCTCTTCGCAGGTGCTGAGGTAGCCTCGTGCTTCTTGGTCTGCTCGTACTCGCAAGTGTAGGCTTGTCCAGGCTTGGTGATGGTGACAGTCTGAGCTTCATGGTGGTAGACACCCGCCTCGTAGTGCTTAGCGGTGGGGTATGCGACCTCGGTGTCGTGGTCGTAGACGGTGGTGGTGGGCTTCGCGACCTCGTAATTGCCGGTGGTGGAGGCATAGATTGTGGTGTGCTTGATCACTGTCTCGGTGACAGTCTTGCCACCGTTGACCTTTGTCTCGTAGGCACCGTAAGCGCCCGTGATGTAGCCAGTCTGCTTGGCTTCGATGTACTGGCCTCCGTAGGTGCATGTCTCGCCAGCCTTCGCAGTCTTTGTGGCCTCAGCTGGGTAAGTGACGGGGTGCTCAACGGTGACGTCCTTGCTTGGGACAGTGTAGACACCAGGCTTCTCGTAAGTGGTGACCTCAGGCTTAGGAGTGCCGTAAGAGTACTCGTGGACGTACTCGGACCACTTTCCGCCCTTGTACTCCTTGACGTTGACGGGTTGCTTCTGCTCGCCCTCCTTGTAAAGGCCGGAACCGGGGTATCCGGGAAGTGCGTGAGGACCGAGTTGGTTGTATGGGACCGACTCAATCTTCTCGTACAGCTCGTACCAGCAGCCGTCAGTGCCGTTCTTAGGGGCGAGACCAGTGGGTGCCGCATAGCCGCCTGTTGCAGTAGCGGAGTGGGTGATGGTCTTCTTGGTGTGGTAAACAACAACGGGCTGCGCGGTCTTGGTGATCGTAGCGTAGTTGTTGTCGTAGTCCTTGATGACAGTTGATACGTAGGCATCCTCATCCCACTTGGCGCAGTCCTTACCACCATAGGCGGGGGACACGCAGGTGGGGTACGGCTGATGTTGAGTGGTCACGGTTACCGGTTGCTTGCCATAGCCGGGCACGATAGTCGTGTATCCGATGGGCTTCGCGGAGGTGCTCGGCTTGACGACGGAGCTGGACTCTGCTTGCGCACCGTATCCACCGTAGGCCTCGTGGGCAGCGGCAGTGGCAACGAAGATGAGTGCGTACTTCATGGTGATGATGAGTGTTGTTAAAATTAGATATTAGATGTAATAAGATCGTGTATAACGAATGACTGGGGTGAGATGATATAAAAAAAAAGAGTGTAGGAAAGAGCTGTTGATGATTAGAGAGAAGATGTGGATGAGTATATGGACTGCGAGACACCGTCGTCCATATATACTCACCCAGTGCGTAGACTGGTCTGAGAGACACACGCCCCTGAGATACTGGGACGGTAGAGTCTGCCGCTCGCTTGCTTACTTGGTACCCTGAATCCGAGGGTGTTGAGCTCTAGAATGCGACACGTGCGCAATGCATGAGCATACCGTTCGGTAGAGGTAGAGGTCGACTCGAATGTACGTACGAATACGAAGTACAAGCTTCGGAGTTATACGGTGCCATTTGGGCCAATCTATCGTGAGCTGCACGAAGTCTGGAAGGAAGGGCATTGTCGAGATCTTGAACACAGTCGTGCAGTCGTCCTCTAGTCGACACTCGTGAGACTCTGTCTTACAAGAAGTCCGCTCACCGAGTTTTCAAACGTACTTTTATGCATGCTGAACCCCTCAACGGCGGACTGTTTGAGTGGGCCTTTCCCGACTTGGCAGAAAGCTTGATACCCCGGCATACGCTGTCAAAGGTGAGCTTGTCTGTAGGCGTTTAAGGTAAGAATGATAAATTTGCTCACAGTATCCAATAAGATTCCTGTGTCTATTTTGACACTTCATTCTAGACCTTGTGGCCATTGCGTGTCCAATAGCGTGGTTTTCGAAAAGATCCCGTCCTCTTGACGCACGTTCAGTTCGGCTGATCATTGACCGTCAGAGCGAAACTTGTGTACGCCGTCGCGCAGCAAAGTCAGCATGCGGAAGCAAAGTGGATTGGAAGGTGAATAGTGAAGCAAACCTTGCGGCGAATGAGCCCATACACGCCTCGCGAGAGTACCTCATCTGTCTCTGTCCCCAGGATACCAGAGATGGTTCATGGAACGCATTGTAGACATGCCGTACGCTGGTCTTGCATTCTGTCCGACTGTTCATGACCCAGATGTTCGTGGTGTTCGCCAAAGAACAGACCACTTCAGGGGCTGCGCCACATCTGCTCTCGCACTAGCGCTTCCTCTTTGGTCGAAATAGCGCCCAACCATCCGTACACGGAGATATCAGACCAGTCACGCGAAGCTTTGAAGGCATCGAGGAGTGGGCCTTCAAAGCACGTACTCGATCCACCATGCTATGAAAATTCATAGAGCGCAGATGCAAAGTGGATAGTTGGGGTAGTTGGGGTAGTTGTGCTAGTAGCTTTGAGCAGAGAGTCATCTCGACACGGCTGAAGACGAAGCCCATGCGAAGCCCGGTGATGGAGGACGTCGCAAGGCGATTGGACCTACAACTACAGTCATTCTTGCCGGTGAGGACCTCTTTGCTAACAACTTCTCTTCTCACCACTTGCAACTCCGCCTCAACGTGCGACAGTTGATCCACAAAGCAAATCGTTCTCTTTGGTTCCATTTGTATCATGCCTTGTCTCAGCAAAACGTGCTGAGATCGTCGAGCGTTGTGATTGAGTTGGACGAATGTTAAAACATTGTTGCAGCACGTCGGTACTCGTCGCATGCAGATGTGTTCGCAACACGTCAACCGTAATTATATCTTTCTTTCTTTAGCTGATCCTTCCGTCCAAGAAAAAAGCACTCCTAGACTGCCGCAACAAGGCTGTCTGCAATGAAGAGCTATAATCTAAAGGGAACAGCAAGCCTTGAGATGTGACCCAAAGGATTTTGGATATATTCGACATCCCAGACGCAGAGTAAGATTCGAGGATGGGCGTAGGGTTCATTTGTTCCAAGATGGGCGTTCTAGAAGGTGTGAGACAACAAACTTGTGCTGAGCAAGAGTCGATGTCAAGAAGACGAGGAGATTGCACCGGAACTGATTGATTTTTCTGGTCAGGGAGAGGGAACCCCCACTTGAGATGTTGTTCCAAACTGATGCAGAAGTACTGGGTGACCGAACAGATATGTAAGAAAATGCCCGGGTGGTTCAGCAGAGGTGACGCCATTCCAAGAATGGATGATCATTGACATCCGGAGCGGAGAAAGCCAATGATGGAGTGTGTTTATATTACACTTTCCTTCTGACCATATGCTTGACCTGTCGTACTGTACATCGAAAGGGTCCTTCATCGTTGAGCGCGGTTGAGATGGACTTGTGGGCGTCTCGTGCCTACCTAGGTAGCCTTGATTCCGTCCGTGCGGTAAACCTGCCGGATACGACCGGCCAGCCCACGAGCCTCGCTGCCTGCAGACGTGCAGCTGAGGCACGGAACCAACATGTTTCGCCTCAATCGCCTCTTTTTGACCACTCGCAAGCGTGTATGCTACCGCCGAGATTGAAGTTCACGGAAACCACTATGACGGCCGGGCAAGTCTACAAACAGATGCTGACGTGGCGGGGTATGAGTACCCACCGCCAGGATCAAGATCCATCGGTTCCATGACCAGAAACACCTTCTCAGCACCAACGCAAAGCCATGTACATAATAGTTGATCTTGATTCCGATCAATCATACTGCAGCGCGCGTCTTAACTGTCCTAATGCATGGCGTGACAGGTCACGTACCAACGCACGTATGCGATAGGATACGCAGGACTGTGTGCTCGCCACGCAGGATCTAGCGTCAACTATGGAAGGTTCAGGAGATATCAATTATCACCGATTCAGCGGATTCGTCTGAATCTAGGGTGGTAGCGCTTGCCGCTACTTATGCGGCTACTTAATCTTGAATCGCGCTTCTAACGAGTGTTATCCTCCCGGACGATGAGAATGTCGCTCTAGCAAGTAATCATCAAGGACACGACTTGAAGTGTCAGACGAACTGTAAAAAAAATGGAACGGGATCAAGGAACAAGCCTGAGGGATACAGTACCTTCTCGGCGGTAATGCTCTCAATCGTAGGTACTGGTAGAATCGCCCGATTGCCCTCTCCCCTCGTCTAGCGCATGCGAGGCGAATCCTTCGGAATTCTCACGGTAAGGCGTTGTTATCTCATTGGCTCGACGACGGAATTTCCATATGTCTGGTGGCCTATCGAGACGTAAGAGACAGGCTGCTGAATCCTTTGTTATAAAAGACGCGAACCCCACTTGGCTAACATGCCAGGCGGAATAATATTACAATCATCGTCTTAATCTCAACAGGTACCGAATATATCCATGCATTTGGTTAATAATCCTTACCTAAAGCTAACTACACTACTATGTAGGTTCCACAGCAATGCTGCCACCAGAACAGCGCACACTCATCCTCGATCTTGGCGACGTCCTATTCCATTGGTCGACCCGCAACCTGACTGCTCTTTCACCTCAAAACTTCCATTCAGTTGTCCTGTCACCAACATGGGCCGAATTGGAGCGTGGTCACATAGACGAGACTGAAGCTCTTGAAATTATTGGCGAGGAATTATCTCTTGAACCGGCAACAATACGCGAAGCATTCAAGCAGTGTCGCAAAACACTACGTGTCGACCATGATCTGCTCAAAAAGCTCAAAGAGCTCAAAGTGGAGATGAACAAAAGCCTCAAGATTTACGCAATGAGCAACATCGCTAGAGACGACTTCACACGCCTCCAAGCCGTGTTGTCTGACTGGAGTCTGTTCGACGGCGTTTACACGTCTTATGAGGCCGGTATGACGAAGTTTGAGCTCGGTTTCTTCAAGCATGTCCTCAAAAGTATCGGATGTAGCGACCCAGCATCTGCAATCTTCGTCGATGATAAGCATGGGCAGGTCAATACGGCTCGCTCTTTCGGCATCCAAGGTATCGTCTTTGAGTCTGGAGATAAGCTCATGCGTCAACTGCGCAACCAACTATTCGACCCCGTCAAACGAGCTCGTCAGTACATGGCCAACAATGCCGGAAAACATATATCTCGTATCGAGAACGGCCCTGATCTTCATGAATTCTTCTCCCAGTTCATCATTCATTATGAGCTAGCCGATGAAAGTTTTCTCAGCCTTTCGCCATCCAATGCTGAGCCTGATGAGGTTGAAGCCACCATTGGCCAAGCTCGCAAAGAGGCTAAGATGTGGAACTACTTCAACGGCCCTCCCATTGGTACGACGAAGACATGTAAGTTGCTCGACGAGCTTATCATTATGGAACTAATGCTAATCTTACAATGCTATCTAGACCCTGATGATGTCGACACTACTGCAAATGCTTTGCTTGCATTCTCACCACCTTCTTCTTCGGCTGACCCCGTACTGGATCGCATGCTTCAGAATAGACATGCGCAAGATGGGGTCGCCTTGATATATCTCTGCGACAAGCGGCCTCGTTTAGATCCTGTCGTCCTCATTAACGTCATCCGCGTCTTCTACAAGTACAACCGTGGAGCAGATGTCAAGCCCGAGCTCGACTACGTTCGTCGCATCCTTTTAAACTCTGGCTACATTGACGGAACAGACGTGTATCTGTCTGCTGATATCTTCTTATACTTCTTGTCTTGTCTTATAGAAGCAAATGATACCGCGCCCGAAATTCGGTCTCTCGGTGAGCCTACAGCTGCTGCGCTTCGAGATTACGTTGGCCGTCGTGGGGACTCTTTCGCTGTCGCTGCACGTGTTCTGGCTTGCCAAAAGCTTGGGGTGTGGGCGCAGCCCGATATTAAATATTTGAAAGAGCTACAAGAATGTGACGGTGGATGGGAAATTGGATGGGTGTGTCGGTTTGGCAGAAGTCATAAGAGAATTGGCAGCAGAGGTGTGCCTACAGCGTGGGCTATCAAAGCGCTGGAGCATGAAGCGCAGCCTTATTTACACAAGAATGCTGACCGTGCAACAAGACGCGCGAAAAGAAGCAGGCTTTGCAATGGAAGTACTTCACTAGGGTGATTGACTACTACTGAACCCAGATGGTTTATGGGCATATCACCGTGCAGAGAAACCAATGTGAATCAGCCGCTGAACATACACACTGCCGATTCACACGGAGGTGAAAGCTGTAATCATAAAGGCTATCCGCTCTTCCCGTCACGATTTCACCATTGCACTCTCACTATCAGTGACCAGCAGACAAATACGATCACGATTCTCGACGCTCTTATCGTTCCGCTCGCACCCTCAGCACCATCAAAGAACTCTCGACGTTTACAGTCGCACGAATAAACAATGTCTACAGGAACTACTGGCGAGCGATTCAAGTACCCTGATGACGAATGTCTAACAGCGTACACCAAGGCTTTGGAGAAAGGTAAAATGCTGCATACACAGGCTCATTCTGACCAGCCCAGCATTCCCCAGAGCGAATTCAAATCGGTCTCCGACCTTGAAGAGTGGGGCTATGTTCTAGATGTTAAAACCGACACCCGGATAGGGATTATGTGTTCGGCGCAACATGTGCTCGAAACTGCCAGGAACGGTGAGACCTACCTGGCCACCGACGCCTGGTTCCTCAATAATATATATCTTGATGATGGCATGATCGAATCGGCGGCTAACTACGCGCCTCACGCGTTGGCATCGGGTTTGGTGAAATCCGTAGACCAGCCGGCGCACGCAACAGTACCTACGCTGTTGCCCAAACTATGCCACTGGAGCGACGTGGCATACCTCACATGGCTGCATGTTACAAGCAAAGAGCTGCCGAAGCCTGTGTTACGGACCATCTCTCACTACGGGGACAGTGTTGCGTCTGAAATGGTAGTGCAGCATGTAACAGCTGGAGTACAGCCGCGCAAATCTGGGCCTTATCTCGAATACGAGTTTGATGCAGACTCAGATGAAGGCTTAGCGATACTTGGGACGCCTGAAGGAGCTGGTACCGCCTACCTACTGGTACAACATAGGGAGGGGTTGGGTCGTCGGGTTGTCGACAAGATTGTTGCTTCTGATTTCGCGGATCCAGAATCTAGGCACTTGCAAATTCTGTTTCACATCAAAGAGGCGGAGAAGGTAGATGGACACGGGATTTAGTTGAACGTAGTCGGTGTCTGGACGCATCATGTAGTTGATCGTAGTCGGTTGCTAATTGATATTCGATAATTCGAAATGTCGTCGCACATTGTTCGGCTCGAACAGTGCATTGACCTTCCACACTCTCCCCCTTGCATCTGACAACACGATCTAGTCATCTTGGCTTATCCTCTCCGCCATCACAGCTTGGTTCTTCTCGTTGGCATGTGCAAACTCCCTGTATCTTTTCTCCTCATCTGACTTGCTCGCCCTTACAACTGTTCGGTTCTCTTTGTTGAGCCCCATGCAGAGCCTCGGGTTCTCGTAGAACATGATATCGATTTGCTCCAGTGTACGTCCGGAAGTCTCAACGCCAAAGAAGTATGTGAGAGGTACAAAGGACGCGCAGACAGCTGCCCAAACCCAGAAGTAATGGCCACGGATGTTGTCAAGACCGATCGGGGTGACCATGACGACCACGAAGTTTGACATCCAATGCGAGAATACGCCAACCGCTGTTGCCTTGTTGCGGACACGGAGAGGTTGGATTTCGGCTGAGTAGGACCATGATACGGGCAATATACCGAGAGTGAAGCAGTCGAGGTACAAGAAGATGAAAGCTACAGCTGCTGCCGCGCTGGCAAAGCTGTTTTTCGCCAGACATCCGGCGATGATAGCCATGCATGTTGCGCAACCGGCTGACGAGCCCATGACTGACCATCGACGCCCGATCTTGTCGATGTAGAAGTAAGGTGGCCATGAGAACACGGCATACTGAGTGAAGGCCACGGAGGCAAGAATGAGAGACATGCTCGGAGAGTAATCGAGGTACTGCTGGAAGATGTAGGCGAGATAGTAGCACAGTGCGTTGATACCGCTCCACTGGTTCATCATGTACGGGCCCATTCCTAGAACAACACGGTGTAAGTTGCGCGTCTTAGTGGCGTTGCTAAAGACTTCGCCCCAGGTGGGTTCCTCTTCGCTGCTCTCTGCCGCGATAGCGTCGAGAATCTCCTGGAGTTGACCCTGCACTTCTTCGTCATCCAGAGGCTTGTCTAAAAGTCGACTGATGGTGTGGCTCGCCTCATCAATCTTTCCACGGGATGCGAGCCATCTCGGTGTTTCGCACAGGAATGGGCAGAGCGCCAAGACCATGAGCGAGAAGAGGATCTGGCAAGCGACAGGAAACCTCCACTGCAGTGAGCTTTCGGCGTACAGTGTCGCAAAGCACAACCAAGAAGCGACCGCGACACCGATGATGATCAGAGCGGACTGAACGACGAGCAGCGAGCCACGGTTGTGCGCAGGCAATGTCTCCGACTGTAGAATTGGCACCGCGACCGTCGACAGCCCGACGCCAATACCACCAATGATGCGCGAGACAAACATCTGCCAGTAATCAAAGCTTGCGGTCTGTATAGCAGCACCGATCACGACGATGAGGTTGGCGAGGATGATCGAACGCTTTCGTCCGATGCGTTCACCGAAGACGAAAGCCACGACGGCACCGAGCGCGCATCCAATATCGTAGATAGCGGTAACTAGTCCGGTCATCGTTGGGTTCGGGTTGCCGAGGGTATCCTTGAAGCGCTGGCCACCCAAGATACCGCCGAAAAGTCCTTGATCATCTTGAATCGTTTTAGCTATCGAACCGCGATGTAAAGTGAGTTGCTTCAGGCTTACATCCGAAGAGAAGGAAGTCAAGACCAGAGGTCAATAGAATGACTGCGATGAGGCTCTTGCCTCTTAGTTCAAACATGATGAAGAAGATCCTGAACCCAATAGTCTGGTAAGCAGGAAGGGACAGCAGAACAGTATGATCGTGAGCCAAACATGTGGGCCGCAATCATGTATCCTTTATACTCGCAACCCCGTAGAGATGTGCACCGGCATCTCCTCATCTAGTTTAACGTCGATGCTTCTAATGTAGCGCGAGGTATCCATGTGGAATTTCTTAGCGGACCGTGTCCGGGGAAATTATGGATACGCGGGGAAGCAAATGCGGAGGTGAGGAATGTCAAAGCTTGCGCGAGAACAAGGCTTCGAACAGGTACATTCATGGCGTTGCATCTGGGCTGAAGTCATGCTAGCTGGGCCGGCTGGGCGAGAATGCGGGGTTCCGCTTTAGGAAATGCCGCGTCCTGAGTGCGGAAGGTTTGCCGCGATTGAAGCAACAGGTGATTTCGCTGGTTCCTGTCAGCCGTCAGGATGAACTTCAGGTGGCTCTGACTATGACTCGCACTGTCTCGTCGTTTTTCGGTGATGAAACATACCTAGGTAGCAGTACACAAGCCTGAACCTCCTAATCGATCGTCAAACCAGAAGCCTCAAAAGCGCTCAATTGTGTACGCCATGCGTGTGGGGAACGCTGATGCCGGTAATCAGAATCTCGGATCGAGATACTGCGAAGACAAGGGTGAGTGTCCCGTGCATGATGCCCGGGCATTTGTGAGTATTGATAAAACTCTTTACCTTCCTGGATGATGAAAACGCGTTCCTAAGTTTTTGATACGTTGAGTAGGATCAGTACACGTAAACGGAAGTCGGAAGAGTGAATTTGAAGGATTATTGTACGATGAAAGCATATCTCGGGTACTTGTACAATGCAAACACATCACCTTGATGTCGTGGCAAGGCTGTTTTCATGAATTTATGAGTCTCTCAGCGAAAGGTAATCTTACTGCCCTTGCTTCTTTTCTTTTCCACTATCTCGTAGCCTCTCCACCTTTCCATGAGCCTTGTAATTTATCTCACTCCAGCTCACCTAACATTTCTCTTGTCGCGCTCAGACTCTTGGTATCTCCGTAGATCGCCGCGATCAGACTCCCATCGATTTTCGGGAATTCGCGTTGGAGCACTTCGACGTTATCGTCATCATCGTCTTTTCTTCCTGCTGCCTCGTAACTCTGCATGACCTCAATTTGGTGAGAGCGATCTTGTCCGGTGGGAAGTGCCATCTCCGTAGCTGTACGACGAGGTGGTAGACCTGGTGGGACTTCCTCTTGTCCAGGGTAGGAAGACTGATTTGGATAGGAAGGCTGAGGTTGTTGTTGCTGATGGTGGGGTTGCTCAGAGAACCCATGAGGTTGGGACTGCATGAATGGGTTGTGCGATTGGGCTTGGCTTGGCTCTTGGCTCCATGGAGAGGTATCCTGGTGTTGAGGGGGGTATTGCGCATACGGCTCCTGAGGAGGATGTTGGCCTAGCGGATTTGGGGGTGGCTGTTGAGCGTACGGATTCGGAGGCGGGTCTTGAGCTGGTTGGTAGGCTTGGTAGGGATTGTGGCTCTGGTTGCTCTGGCCTTGTTGGTTTCCTTGGTCCGCCCACGGGTTGTCGCTGTGGTTGGAGGCCATGACTGCAATCTGTGTACTGCTCGATGTTCGTATGCTAGAGGTTTTGAGGGATCGAAAAGGAGTGCAGCGCGCTTGTTTAGCAAGCAGGAAATCTTTGAGGCTCAGGGCTGACTGTTGGCTGACGAGTACGTGAAGGCGCGGTAGACGATGACGTACGCTTAGCGCACGTGCCTCTTCGCCCCGCTTCGACCAGCAGAGGCCAGGCGCGTACTTGCTGCGAGGTCTAGAGGAACTTCGTACACTGGACCACGGGTCGTATGCCAAAACTCCGTTGTCAAGACAGTCGCCTCGATTTCCACCACCATTGTGCTCCGTAACCATGTTCAGGGTGACAAGTTATCAGCGCGATGTGTGCAAGGAGCTTCGCCGGAAGCGGACACCCCTTGCATAACGCGGGCTGCTCCTTCAAGGTGCTTCTAAAGTACTATATATGAGCACGCCAGGTAGGATGCGTGATTGCATCTTCATATTCACCGTATGAGAACACATCCTCTCCATCGTTGCAGTCATGGCAGCGCTGAGCTTTCAGCCCTTTGTCCTCCGTTTGTTCAACGCGCCACTAGGTGTTGACTTCCTGCGCAACTTGAGTGCTAAGATCTCGCCTTTCTTCGACTGCGAGCGCGATCGATTGTTTGCGTATATCAGTGATAGTAAGAGGAGACACTTACGGCAAGAGATGATAGAAAAGACGCTGGAGGCCAAGAGGCGTGGTAGGCGATGTCGTGCATTTTGCTCACCGTGTTCAGCAGGCTAACAATATATAGAGAAGCAGAAACAACGCGCCGAAGAAAAGATGAAGCAGATGCAAGCTAAGCCGTCCTGCAGAGAGAAAGAGCGCGAATCGAAGACGAAAGTGAAAGCAAAGGCCACGCAAAGAAACAATGGTATGTTCTAATTCAAGAGAACTTAATCGACCGTGTGATCCATACACCAGCAAGTCCATACCGTTAATGCTCGACAGGCGGGAAGAAGTAGTCTGCATATGAATCTCATATCGATACAGACACCGCACTATGTCGATTGCGCGCATTCCTGTGCTCATCAACTGCAACGACAGTTGAAGCAATCAATCCTTCTCTTGTCTGTGCTTACTATCCTTTTATCGCATGAGTTCTTCCACAAAATTGATCATACCTCGAAGACCACCTATTCCCTTCGACTTACTTTGTTGCATCTTGCCTAGTCTTGGTGGTATCTCCGATTTCACTCGACGCTTGTGGCGCCTATGTGTCCCATCTCGGACAGTCTGAGGAGGAGCTGAATCCCCAGCGTGACCATCGAAACCTTTGTGAAGCCCGCGTGTGCTTGAGACTATTGTACTTTCGGTACCGCGTATCGTCTCAGAAGCAGACGATGGAGCATCAAGGCGGGACCTTGCGGGGCCATGGACTTGATCAGGAGAAGCATCCTCGAATCGATCCTGTACAGCTGGATGTTCACGAATGGGAGCATGTGAGTGAGCGGCGCGAGATGGCCGGTTGTTGGACTTTCTTGACCGAGAACATGATTGCTGTTCTGCAGGCGTAGATCTTCTTAAGTCTCCATTCATAACATGTACCTCCTGTATGATCGCTGGTGCACATATCGTACCGATATGGGGCGCAGGTAAAGCTGGCACTTCGTCATGATGCCTCTGTGTACTGGCTGAATTCGACCTACCACGCCTTCGGCGAGAGGAACGGCTCATGTGCCCGTGGCGACTGGCTCTTCTGGTTTCATGGTCCCCAGTGCCTGACCGTCCATCTTCTGTACCATTGTTCGAACAATGGCAGCCATTTGCTGATGTCCCGTGTGGCATACGTTCATGTGGAACATCGCGAGGCTCGATCATTTCCGTTCCGTATCCGCACGTAAGCAGTGTACCGTCTTCTTGCATATGATGTCGAAGCTGCGAGAGACACTGACGCGGATGACGGAGCAGGAAAAGCCCAGTGTTGAGCATTCCACCTTTCTCTGAACCGGGTGTAAGTAGCACGTCACAGCCCATGGAGCCCGAGTTTTGGACGATGATCTTTGTGTCGCCAACGATGTAGATGCCATTGTTGCGTAATGAAGAGGGTTCGTGATGGTGAGATGATGAATTGTGACGGATTCGTTCTGGCATCCTTGCGCGTACGAAGATATCAAAGAGGCAGTCGGGAACGTGCTGATAGACATTCGAAATAACGTTGTGTAACGTAAGCAGATGGAGATGTTTGCGGCACACTGCTGGCGGTGGGCAACGGAAGTAGGGCGGGCGCAAACCATCTATGTTGTACGCCTAGCAGACATAGTAACTTATATTTACACTTCGCCGTTCGTCCTCAACAACTGGGGGCGTTTGTACACAGGTGGCACTGCGATATTGGCTCAGGATACCGGGTCTCGGGGATGCGGTTAGGCATACTGCAACTGTGCAACGATAAGCATGATAGAACGGGGCCAGGCAGCGAAATTAGAACTGAGAATCTTCGGAGTGTTTCAAGCTAATATCATTAATCAATCAATTACCGTTCGTTGGCTTGGATGCCAACAGTTTTCGGTGGAGGGCCGATACCAAAACCTCCCAGAGGTACCAAACATTATTCGTCAACGCTCTGTGAACTTCTGGCTAGCGAAACAAGAGGTTCACGCAGGCTCCTCAGTCTTCGCTCGCTTGCCCTCCGCACCGCCATCATCGACTTCCAGTTTCCTCTTGCTACTGCCAGCATCATTTGACCCTGAAGCTGCCGGCGCAGGCGCCTTCACCTTCTTCTTCACCATACCCGAGACATCGTTTGCGCTCTTGGTAGCTTCCGCAATCTTTGCCTTTTGTGTTGCTGCATCTGCTCCTAACAGCCCACCTAGCAGTCCCTTGAACACCGACGAGTCGATGCTGTCGAACTCCTGCTTGTTGGGATCTGACTTCAGGTCTACAAGACGGGTCTTGAGATCCTCGAGCATGCCCTTTTTGTCTTCAATGATGGCTTGCTTCTCCTTCTTCTGCTCTGGCTTGAGGGCGTCGGAGCTGAGTGCTGCCTCCTCCTTCTTCAAGCGCGCTTCCAGACTTTGTATGGCGAGGTCTGTTTGTTCAGCAGCCTCCTTCCGCAGGTCCCAGTTTATGCCATCTTCGTCTTCCTTTCCTTGTTCCTGCTTAGCGGACGCATCGGTTGTTTGTCCAGTCTGGTCTTCCCGTACTTTTGAGACGGATGCGAACTCGAGCGCAAGGGAAAGCGAGTAGTGGGCTTCCGTGACGTTCTCGTGCTCGAAGGGGTATAGTTCCTCTTGCAGGGCGAGCGCTTTGCGAGCGTCTGATATAGCGTCGTGGAATCGTTCGTTCTCGAGCGAGATCTCGACGAGGAAACCGTGGCAGTCGGCGATGCGCTCCTTGATGACGCGCGCCTTCGGGCTCAGCTCCGCCTTGCCTTTGCCCTTGTCTGAAGCGTCTCCTTCTGGGGCATCTAATTGCCTCTCATACAGGACGCGGGCTAGCTCGAAGATCTCGTACGCGTTTCCGAGGTCGTCGTCATCCTCTTCTTCCTCACCGTCCTGCATGTCGTCGTCTTCATCCTCGGAATCGGTCCAGTTCTCATCGCCTTGAAGCTGGAAGAATGGCGTCTCGCCTACTGGCTTCTCCTTCTGCTCAGGCTTTGCGGCGCTTGCACCTTCACCCGCGTCTGCTTTCGCGGCCTTCTTTGCCTTTGGCTTCTTCTTCTCCTCTTTTGCCACCTTGTTGCCTAGCACATCGCTCTTGGCGACTGCCGACCTGTAGAGCGCGCGCCCGTAGTAGAAGAGGAGCTCGGCGTTCTCAGGCGCCATCTCGCCGTTGAGTTCAGCTTGGATCTCGACGGCATCGGCGTAGTGTTCGGCAGCGGCGTCGTAGTTCTTGGTGGAGTAGTGGATAGAAGCAGCCTGCGACAGCTCTCCCATCTTCTCTTTCGTTCGGGGCATGTCTTCAGTCTCGGTGACGGTCGCGAGCGGTTCAGTGGCAGGGTCAGCCATTGCGTGAGATTTGTCGTGTTTGTGTGATATATTCAGCGTATGCGACAACGATTTCAGAGTTTGCAGGCCGTAAGGGTAAGCGTGAAGGATGCTGAGTGTCGTGTTTGGGCAAGAGGCTCGGTGGTTGCTAGGAAAAGTAGCTCCGTCTCTAGCGCGAAATCGCGCTGGGACGCGTCGCACGCGTAAAGTGGAATCCCATGCGTGCCCATTACCACATTGCGACACAGCACAACTTCACCTTCACCACACCCAATATGGCCACCTCAAGAAGACCCGAAAAGCCCTCGGCGGTACCCTCAGACCTCATCCCGTCTTCATCGCCAGCGTTCGGAACCCCGGTTCATCCCATCAATCCCCGCAGAACCGCCCCCATACGCGCCCCGCCTGCACTCAAGCCAGTCGGCAAGTCCACCGTTCTGCCTATACTACTTCCTCCTGCCACACTACGACCGCTCGCATTTCGAACATTCACAAAGAAACATAACCTCACCCTCACATCTTCCGCCCTCCAAGCACTAGCAACGTTTGTGGGGAAGCACTGTGGTTCGGGATGGAGAGAAGAAGGCCTGGCCGAAAAGGTCTTGGAGGAGATCGCCAAGAGCTGGAAGAAGTGCGGTGGCCAGGTCATCGTGGAAGGCGACAATGAGACGCTCAAGGGCATACTCAAGACGCTCGAAGGTTCAATGAGTGGAGGAAGGGTAGTGCAAGGCTCAAATCTGGGCAGGCAAAGCAGCTTCAACTTTGGGCCTGAGATAGCTGGCCAGATGAATCGCCCGAGTATCGACACTAACAACAGTTTTGGTATGTCGAGCCTGGAAGTAGAGGACAAAGATGAGGAAGAGGATCTGTTGAAAGATCCACGAGAGTGGATGAAGGTCATTGGCGCGTTCGAGCAGCCAAAGTTGATATACAATGCCACCCAGAAGCACTTTGAAAAGTATGTACCAGTCAAGAGAGAACGGAGTGTCTACTAACCATGTCAGGTCGGCCAAAAAGCCATCGCTGTTCCCAGATCCCTCACACAAGACCGAGCTCTTCCGTCAACGCTACCACATCGTACACCAGCGCATACTCCGCAACGAGACGTTCCAAGCACCCACATTCTCTACGGCCCGTTCTGCTACCCTCAACCGGACGGGATCGATTGCGACGTCACAGATGAACAGTATCACACCAATTGCCAATCTGCTTGGTCGCACTGGAAGCACACATTTGCTGCTAGGCATGCTCACAGTCTCGGCCACTGGTGCGCTTTCACTCTCAGACCTCACAGGCACAATCACGCTAGATATCCAACACGCACGTCCAATCCCCGAGAATGGCGCCTACTTTGCGCCAGGCATGATCGTTCTAGTCGAGGGCAGCTATGAAGAGGACGCCGGAGCTACTTCAACTCTAGGGGGCAGCGGCGGTATTGGTGGCACGATAGGCGGCAAGTTCCTTGGTTTCTCCGTCGGACACCCTCCCAGTGAGCGCAGAACAGCAACCTTGGGCGGCGCCGAAGAGGTCGACAAGAACAGCCTGACTGGACCAGCGTTCGGATGGACAGACTTCTTAGGTGTTGGTTCCCAGCGTGCGACCGGCACCCGTATGAACAAGATCGCATCAAAACTTCTGGATCAAGAAACAGCACATAACATAGTCATAGCCTCAGACCTTCATTTGGACGTTCCATCGACGTTATCAGCTCTCCGTACCCTCTTACGCACATACACACCCGATCCCACCGACGCCCATCCAGTCTACCCTCTCGCTATCATATTGATGGGAAATTTCAGTTCGAAAGCCAGTCTTGCAGGCGTACCAGGAACAGGCAGCATTGAATACAAAGAACACTTCGACGCACTTGCCTCTGTCCTTGCAGACTTCCAACCGCTCATCGCACACACTACCCTCGTCCTCGTTCCCGGCGACAACGACGCCTGGCCGAGCGCA